ATTTTGCAACAATAAAACACAATCAGTTTAATATACGAATTCAATCCAATCTGCAAATAGCATTTTTCTTTTTCTAATGGGCCATTATATCATATTGTATTATATTATATTATATTATATTATATTATATTATATTATATTATATTAAATGTTGTCCATCCCCTTTCTATGATAAGGCTCTTTCTTCTGCAGATGATCTCACCTAAGTCTGGCTACTATCTAGGTAAATACCTTCCTCACAAAAGGCCAAACATTTAAAAGGTATAGAGTTCGGGGCACCTGGCTGGCTCAGCGAGAGAAGAGCGTGTGACTCTTGAACTCAGGGCTATAAATTCAAGCCCCACATTGTGTGTAGAGATTACTTAAAAATAAAACCTTTGAAAGAGAATAAAGTAAAAGGTATAGAGTTCAACAGTACCTTCTGGGATTAAGCAATACCAACTTGACATTGGTAATCTTCTATTCAATTATTTCAAGTCAACAGATATTGCCTCACTATATGCCGCTCAGGTCAGGGGGAGAATTAGGGCAGGGTGGATTCTCAGTTTTGGATAGGATAATCTCTGGATAATCTTGAAATCTATTTGGGGAATAACAGATGTGGTTCTAAATGGATCTCTCCTCATCTTTCGTGGGCCCGGGATGGAACTCTCTGTGTGTCCCTGAGAAACAGGTAGAGTTAGAGAGGAGTGGAGCAGGAATCAGAAGACAGTTCCAGTTGCTTCTCTGGCGTAATTCCTCAGTGGCCAAATGGTCTTTTCGGCCCTCTGTTCCTTGCTCTGTAAAATGGGGTGAAAACACGGTCTTGCTTCCTTCACCACGTCATTGTGGAGCTCAAACTCCATGGCGCATATGCCAGTCTTTTGAGTGAGCAAACTCAACAGGTCTTCTGGAATCCTCACCTGCATGAAACACCGGTCCCTTAAGAGGGCCCACAAGCCTCAGCTGAAGGGACAACTGTTTCCATGTCACCCAGATTGCGTTCTCTAATTGGCTGCCTGAGCTCTAACCGAGGTTTCAAATTTGTTTTAAAACAAAGATGGCGTTTGGTCACATGCAACTGCCGAAATAGGCAATCTATAATTAGCTCCAGCTGAAGCCTCATCCCCCAAAGTCACTAGTGTTGTCGTCATCCCTTTTCTTTCTTTAACAAGCCCTGCCCCTCTTTTGTCCTAGGACGGGCTTCTGGCTCACATGCCCTTTACAAAGAAGATTTCCCTGGCTGGCTGCCATGGGTTTCTCTGCCCACTTCCATTTTAAGTTATTTTCCCTCAGCTGTCCCAATTTCTTCTGAAATAAAGGCAGGTGCCAAAAAAACGGCTGGTTCGCGTCTAAAGAAAACTTGGCTTGACCTGTTGTAAGCCAGCAAGAGGCTTTGTGTAGTCACATGGCCTGGGTTCACCACCACCCACTGATAAGCACTCACAGTGGATTCCTGCACAGACCCTTGCATCTCAGACTGACCCTCTGGGTCACGTGAAGAAGCTACCAAAATTTGATATGGTGTTTTCCAATGCCCCATTTCGGACAGAAGGGCCCCCAAATTCTCTTTTGGTTTTGCTAGCTCTGCAAAACTGCAACACCGCTTTTTCTGTATGTAGCATTAGCTGATAGAATTTCGACAGGAAGTGGCATGGGGGGGGGGGTTCACGAGGGAGTATGTCTTCCCGTGGCCCACTTATTTACAAAAAAAGGAGGTTCTCTAATACTTCAACCGTTTGCCACAGGATGAACTTGGATGTTAAGTGGCTCTTGGATGTAGGCAGTAACTTGGATGTAAATTGGTTCATTCTGTGTGTCTCAAGCTGAAAGAGGTGTAGAAATAGAGTTCACACTAAATCTACACACCAAAAGAGTAATAAGGAATTGTTTCATGTCACAGAACTGAGGTAAGTCAGAGTCCAAGATTTTAGAGCCAATGTGACCCCAAGGGGCAAAGCTCCCTTTGGTTAATTGAAAAAGTTTTCTTTTAACACCTGAAAGAGAAATGGTCACTTTCTCCTTATATGCCATTACAAATTTACTACCAAAAAAAAGAAAAAAAAAAAAGAAAAGATGAGCATCAATATCAGATGTATCATGAATTACAGTTGTGGCACAAAGCATGGCATAAAAATATTGAGTAACTCCTGCAGCCAGATGCCCTCGATGTGCCTGGCACCATATGTCAGGTGGGTAGGTTCACGAAAGCAGAAAGGTTCACATAGGCTCACGCTTCACTGAGCCCAGACCCTCTGAGTTTAGCCATCCTGTCTTTCCAAGTGACTTATTCATCAGATGTGTATGGGAAAATATCTAGCTCACAATGCCATTTTGTGTAAAACTCAGAAGAAGAAAAAAAACTTAAACTGAGTCTCTAAGCCTCTTGGACTTACCCAAAGATTCTATCTTGCACAGTGTTACTTTTGGTCTTCCTAGGCTGATCCTAAGTGGGTTAAATACCTTAGATGTTGATCCAATATACTGTGGGCAGGAGTTAAAAACACCTTACAGATACCCACCCAACCAACAAATGGATTTAATTCACTGGTGTATTATCAGACTTTTTTTTCCCATACTTGGCGATGAGAGATTCTCCAATTGTTTTACGTGCAAATGGTCCAAACAAACTAAACTCACAAGAGAAACAGGTTACTAGGAAAAGCACTCGGAAGTTCTAGTCCAGGCTGGAAATCAGGTTAAGCCACACTGAATCAAACACTTGGGAAGAGTGCCTGAGACTACCAAGTCAGGCTGGGCCAGGAAAACACCATGAGAGACAGAAGGGGAAGGGACAGCCTCTGTTTGAGGTTCTTATAAAGAAAGGACAGCACTTTTCTTTATGGCCCCCCATCCATCTTCTGTCCCCCCATCCTCCTTGGCCAAAGCCCACTCCAGAACAGGAATAACAACATCCTAGGTTTGCAACACTTTCACTTTTAGGAAGACTTTCCCCCCAGATTCTTTCACTCTAGATCACGATCCCATCTTCTGGATAAGCACGTCAATGGGGATGAGCCTAAACGATGAGAACTGTCAGTCTTCACCCACATCCTCACAGAGCTGCCTCAAACCCCAGTTCCCATTTTTTCTAACTCCCACATGCTTCTGAGAGGAACCAGATCAGGGCCCACGGCTGGCATGGAAACGAGAAGGGAAGGGAGGGGTGCCACTGGAGGATGGATGAAATAGTCCATGGGGGGTAGGGGAGAGCATCAAGCTTAGCTTGGAAGGTCAGTCAGTGGGTGACAAAAGGCGACTCCCGAGACTTGGCCTTCTACTCTGGGGAAAGCCTAAGCAAAAAGGGCTATTGCCCACCAGACAGCCCCAGACGGTGCCCACCTGTGCCCACGGAGAGCCTTTCCCCCTGGCCCAAGCACCCACAGAGGTCAAGAAACAGCTCCACTCCCACCAAGGCACAAATCGGGTGCTCTACCCAGCCCAACAGGCGGTCCACCAGACCTGCCACGCTCCCAGGGGCTGCTCAAGAAGCCGGGCTGTCCAGACCTGTCACCAAGCAGCCAGACCTGTCACCCCGAGCCCCCGGAGCTGCGGCGCGAAGAAGCCCCCTCCCAGACCGCGCGGACTGTGCGCGCCGCCTACCCGAAGCTCGCCCTCGGTGCGGTGCAGTCCCAGGCGCCGCAGTCCCACGGCCAAGTCGTTGACACACAGGCCGCCGTCACGGTTGACGTCGAGGGTCTGGAAGAGGCTCCACAGGCGCAGCCGATGGTCCGGGCCCCCGCAGACGGCGCCGCCGCACGGGTCCACGGACGCCGGCGACGAGGCGGACGACGAGGCGGCGGTGGCGGCGTCCGGCGGCGGGGAAGCCACGCAGCGGCACAACACACTGCTCACCATCGGGCGCGAGACAGGGGCGCCGGGCGCGAGGCGGGGGCGGCTGGGCGGCGGGGAGAACGCGGAAGACACGCTGGAGTCCCCAGACCGCGAGCGCGGGATGGAAGAAGCCGGCAAGGGGGCGGGAGGGGCCGCTTCCGGGAGCCCCGCCCCGCCGCGCGCCGCCTTGTTGGCCACGCCCCCAGGCGCGCCGTGGGCCAGTCACAGGCCCCGACGGCCACCTGGGCGGGGCGGAGCCTCCCCGAGGACCGCGCACGCCGCGGGCACTGCGCGGATCAATGGAGAAGGCGGGGCGATCCCTGCTCAGCCTGCGGCCGATTCAAATTGAAAGAGGTGGGGATTGGCTGAACTGGGCCAGAGAGAGGAAGTCACGCCGTGATAGGCAGAAGTTATGTGACTAGCAGGCGGAAGGCCCCGTGTCCAATTTCCATTGAGAAACGCTGTTTAGGCTGAGGAATCGTAAGGCTGGGAGGAGCGGTCATGTACGGAGATGTCGTAGCCTCGGGTGGGAAGTAGGATTTGTGTGAAGAGCACTTGTGAGCTGAGGCTGCAAGGCAGAGTTGGCCCCCGTGAGTAGAATTAAAAATTAATTGGCCAGTGGCTCAAGGCCAAAAGCACTAGGTATCCTCAGGAGGCCGGGTTTTGGTAATCGAACTCCCTAAACCACCAATAAAATAGCTTAATTTAACGGCGTTTAATAGTCGCAATGCTGACGATTGAAGGACAGAACGATTTTCCAATGGAAGTGAATAAAGGCAGGTGGGCGGAGCGTTCTGTAGCGACAGACCAATGATCAGGCCAATTCCAGCAAATAGGCGTGTCCTTTAGCTGAGCGACAGATCACAAGAACCAGTGATCGACGTGATGCCTGAGCCGCGGCCAACCAGGAGGGCACGTTCCCCGGGAGAAGGTCTGGGAGGCGGGAAAAGGGGAAGTGGGCGGATCTCCGCACGCCCCGGCGGAAGAGGCAGATTCAGGAAGCCATTACGCAGCTGGCTGGCAGCGGCCGGGCCGGTCGGGGCTGGGCCCTACGCACTTTGCGTAGCGAGGGGGGTTACCAAAGGCCTGGTGCTTGGCCTTGGGCAAGCCCGGCCTATCCCCTGTAGGGGGGTGGGTGAGAGGCGAGGTTGAGGAAGAAGAGAAGGGGAATTGGGGCGGCTGGGGGGATTATAATTTCTTTAAAAAGGGAGGGTGGGGAGAGGCCATGGCCGTCCCAGCCAAGAAGAGGAAGATGAACTTCTCTGAGCGAGAGGTGGAAATCATCGTAGAGGAGCTGGAACTGAAGAAGCACCTGCTGGTGAACCACTTCAACGCCGGGGTCCCTCTGGCTGCCAAGAGTGCGGCCTGGCACGGCATCTTAAGAAGGGTCAACGCGGTGGCCACCTGCCGCAGGGAGCTGCCTGAGGTCAAGAAGAAGTGGTCTGACCTCAAGACCGAGGTCCGTCGCAAGGTTGCCCAGGTCCGGGCAGCGGTGGAGGGTGGCGAGGCCCCAGGGCCCACAGAGGAGGATGGAGCCGGTGGGCCTGGGACAGGTGGTGGCAGTGGCGGCGGTGGCCCAGCTGTAGCCCCCGTCCTGCTCACCCCCATGCAACAGCGCATCTGCAACCTGCTGGGCGAGGCTACCATCATCAGCTTGCCCAGTACCACAGAGATCCACCCCGTGGCCCTTGGACCCACAGCCACTGCAGCCGCAGCCACGGTCACCCTGACACAGAGTGAGTGACCTCTCCCGCCCAGTCCGTCGTGCATAAATGGGAAGGGCCAGCCAGAGCTGGGGCAGCCCGGGGAAGGTTGGCTGCCAAGGGTCAAAGGTCAGATGGGAGTCTTGGAAGACCACCCGGCCTTCCAAGAGCTCCGCAGACAGAAGTGATCTCACTCTCTTTGGGACTTCCTCAGCACACAGTCTGGACTTCTGATGGGCTGGATTGCTCTCAACTGTTTTGCCATCATTCGTGTCCATGACTGACTGAACTCTGTGGTCCTTGAAGACAGAGACCATGTCTGTATCCCCACGGGACTTATCACAGGGCCTGTCACATAGTAGGCAGTCAGGACATATTTGTCGAATGGACAGATAGATGGGAATAATAATACCCAAGTAAGGCATCGATTCTGGACAAAGACGTTCTGGGTTTTCAGTGCGGCAAACGTTCATCAGGCATTGCTCAGAAACCTCATGGTTCCTAGCGTTAATCTGTTCGTTCACTCCTCAAACACCAGCACTTACTCCATTCAAACATTGTGCTTGGCACTGGGATTTGGATTCCCAAGGTGTTTAAAATATAGGCCAGCTATATTCTAGTAGGACAGATAAGACACACATGAATAACCGTAGTGTCAGGAGAACCTAAGGACTCAGAAGGAAGGGGCTTCCTGATCGGGGTGGGGACCCAGAGCTGATGTTGGCACTGAAGGATAGAGAAAATTGACCTTTCCCACAGGCGTGGAGGCCCCAACAGCCCACCCAGAATTCCTTCAAAGGTTCTCAGCTATGAATGACGATGGTTTGGTTGGATTTTTCAGTTCAGATAAGGGTTTGTACCAGTGACCGTGAACTGCTTGTTTGTGCTGGGCTATTGGCCTGTATCAGTCAGTGATTCTCAGTGGGGCTCTGGGGAATTGGGTGTGTGTGTGAGTGCCATCCCCCCCTGCAGCCATATTTTCTAAGGATAGCAGGTGGGAAAGAGGATCGAACGCTAGTCTAAAGCAGTTGCTCCTCTAGAACAGGAAGGACCTCTAGGTATTCCTTTGGCCAAGGAGACAGGAGGCATTTATTGGGCACTTCAGCAACTGCTTGGCCATAAAAGAAGGAGGGAGATAAGGCAAGTGTGGCCGCAAACGCTTCAAGCAGAGTCCCACCCAAGATGGCTGCTGAGTGCTGGCACTGGAGAGCATGTGGCCCTGCCTTTATCGGCTGGAAGCATCCCAGTGCGGTGGTTCTGAGCAAGTTGGACTCCGGTGTTAGGGAGACCTGGGCTTGCTTCCTGGGCCTGTTGAATAAACTGCGTAACCTTGGGCGAGTACTCCACGTTTTTGAGTCTGTTTCCCCATCTCCAAAACGGAACACGACAGTGCCTGCCTCTCTGTGTCATTCTGAGGATTCGTCGAGCTAACGCGTGCAAAGGGCTTAGCACGGTGCCTGGCACATAGTAGGCGCTCTGCGCACCAGCATTGTTATCGGCGTCTTTGCTTTTGCCTGATCTGGGACTGGTCCTGTGGTTACCAAGTAGATTCTAAACGCTTTAGATTCTAGATTTATGCAAGAAGAGCTCTAAAGCCAAAGGACCTGAATTCCCCCAGAATAGGGCTTAACGGCCTCCTCCCTGCCCTGTGTGGCCAGCTTCATTCTTTTCAGCAGGTGACCTGCCACTGCCTTTGCTCTTTCTTCCCCCACAGTCCCCACGGAGACCACCTATCACACGCTGGAGGAGGGAGTGGTGGAGTACTGTACCGCTGAGGCGCCCCCACCCCTGCCCGCCGAGGCCCCCGTGGAGATGATGGCTCAGCACGCTGATACCTCGGTCAAACCCCAGGCGCTCAAGAGCCGCATTGCCCTCAACTCCGCCAAGCTGATCCAGGAGCAGCGAGTTACCAATCTGCACGTGAAGGAGATCGCCCAGCACCTGGAGCAGCAGAACGACCTACTGCAGATGATCCGCCGCTCCCAGGAGGTCCAGGCCTGCGCCCAGGAGCGCCAGGCCCAGGCCATGGAGGGCACCCAGGCAGCGCTGAGTGTCCTCATCCAGGTCCTCCGGCCCATGATCAAAGATTTCCGCCGCTACCTGCAGAGCAACACGCCCAACCCCACTCCCGCCTCTGACCCTGGACAGGTGGCCCAGAACGGGCAGCCCGACAGCATCATCCAATGAGGACGGGGGTGGCGCCAGCCTTCTGCTCTGTTTGGATGACGTCACTGTGGTCTTGTACGTGGGTTCTGTGACTGGCCACGTGGACAGCTCTCACTTTGATAGACTGTTAGGGGTCCGCAGTTTCGGAGGAGTGAGGGAGACCGAGAAGAACTTGTTGGGCTCCTGGGACCCGCACTCTCTTACCCTCACCACTTGAGCTGCCTGGCTGACAGCCTGAAGATTGGCTAGGTGGGCGGTGGGCGCTGGTGAGGCTCCACACCTTGTCATGAGCCAGGGCTCGGGACACGACCCAGACCCTGTCTAGGACAACTGTAAGGGAGGTTCTCACTGGGGGCCGTCTGCCAGCCGGGGTCTGTGCTGAAATTCTCCCCCTTCCCCCCCACCCCCCCCCCCCACCCAACCCAGTGTCATCGTTTGGAATAAGATGTCAGTGGTGCTGGCAGTGACACAATACCTTCTTCCTCCCTAGGGAGGCAGAGTGACTAGGCCTGAAGAGGAAACTCCACCCTTTTCTCCTTTGTACTGTGCCTCAGTTCTCAGGGGATTCTAGTCAATCTGTGCTCTCCCCACCCCCCACCCCAGCCCGGGCCTGACAGGGGCCCCCTTGGTATATACCCTGAGCTGCCTCTGCATTACACCCAGGATGGGGCCCGCTGGGCTCAGGGATGCTGGGTGCGGTGGGGACAGCTTGGCCACCGTCTTGTCCTCCACTGCATCCCTGGGCAGCCCTTTAGTGGTTTGTCCTGACAGCTCTTGACTCAGGTCGGGCATCAGGCTTTAGGTGCTGTAAATTCGAGAGAAAACAGACCCGCGTGGAATCGTATTGTTCCCCCCCTCCCCCCACCCGCCCCTGCAGTGAATCTGAGGTGACCGGTTGGCTTCTTCCAGAAGGCTTGCTTCAAGCCAGCTGTCTTTATTCTGTACCACGGACCCCTTCTGGGAAAGGGCGGGGGGCAGCTCTGGCCACACCCTTCCTCCTTTCCTCTCTACTGACTCCACGATTCCGAAACTCATTGTGGGAAAAAGCCTCCTCAGCATCACGCCCCGGACTCCCTGTCCCATTATTCAGCGCCTCGTGTTCCTGCGGGACTCCCACTGCCTGGCTGGGCGAATCGGAAGGCCTGATTGGCCCCGAGTGTCTGAGGCAGGAGAGCCAGAGCTGACCTAAGACGCGGGACCTTTGACTTCTGTGCTCGGGGAAGAGCAGACCGACCTCGGAGTGCGGAAGGAGGTAGTGTGTTCCCTGTTCTGTCTTGACGCTCTGTCACCTTCTGTAGGGAGTTTACCCAGATGGCATTTGTCTGTTTCATTTTCAGAATCGCCATCGATCACCGAGACGCTCGCATCTCCCCAGATCATTCCCCGGGATTGCCATTTTGCCGCCGGTGCCTTGGCCACGCGTGACCAACGGTTGCAACTCGAGGCTCCGGATCTCAGCTAAACCATGGAGGTGCTGCGCTTCTGGGCATGTACGTTTGGAATCGCTTGCTCTGCAGTTGCAATCACCGGAAGATGCTCCCAGAGATGCTCGGGAGGTGACCGCAGTACAGTACGGTCCGCCCCCCCCTGTGGAGCACGGGTGCAGCGTCGGCTACAGAGCAATGGAGAGGAATCAGGCTGGTGAGGGGGTGAATGGCGGAAAGAAAGCTCCGCGAGCTGGAAAGCAGCAGCCCCTGGCAGCCCGGGCACGCTCCCTCCGTGGAGCCCGACAGCCCTGGCCGGGAAGCTGTGGAGACTTCCTGAGGACTTGCCACTTGGTTTGGTTTTTCTCTGGGGTTGGCAACCTGAGCCAGTATTGGATCTGTTCCAATTGGGTATAAGGAGGAATCCTGGATCACTTAAACTGACTGCTTCTTTCCAGGTCATAATTTTAAATTAAAAAAAAAAAATGTATCACTTTTTTTTTTTTTACACATATCCGTGTCTTTATTGGTTATAGGTGGAAGAGATATGGGCTGGCAGAGAGCAGGGGCTGGCACAGTATGGCCCAGAGGTCATATCTGGCCCACCACCTGTCTTTGTAAATAAAGTTTTATTGGACACAGCCACAACTCTTCATTTACTTAATGTCTGTGGCAGGTTTTGGGCTACAATAGCAGAGCTGAGCAGTTGTGACAGAGACATCTGGCCCACAAAGCCAAAAGTATTTACTCTCCTTTATGGAAAAGTCTGCCTATCCTTGGTTTAGGGCAATGTTTCAGACTCTGGATGAGAATTACTTGGGTAAACATATCCCAAACCTGACCCCACGTAAAACCTAAAAGAGACGCCTGGAAGGAGAGCTCTAAGAATCTGCTTTGTAAACAAGCTCTCTGGGTGATTCTGGTATTTCCTGAAGGGTACAGATGAACTTTGCTAGAAGACTTAATCTCAGCTGGAATCACAGAGCATGGAATCATGGAGCACACTTCAGTGAGGGTGGTTCTCAGGAGTTGCTGCTGACAGTTGAGAAGTCCTGCCTAGCACATATTCTCACTTAAGAGTGGCCTTAATTCTGGAGGGAGCCCAGCCTTCTTGGATGTAGTTATCACTCTCTCCCGTAGTTAGTAATAATAAAAACAGAATTAACCAAGCCCCTGCTCTGTCTAGGCATTACCTCATTGGCTCCTTGCAATAGCCCCACGAATTAGGTAATAATACTGTTCTCAGTTCGCAGATGAGGACACTGAAGATCAGAGAGGTTAAGCCATTCGCTTAAAATCACACAGCTACCTGATTCTCTGGGGTGGCCTATGCTCTTAACTCTTGTTCTTAACCATGCTAATCTTGCTGCCAGTCAGATGTGAAATCACCTAGAGACCATTTGAGCCTAACCTTGAGAAGTCTCTAGGTCAAATGAGGAGGCACGATGTGCTAAATTGTTCTTGGCACTTGAAAGAGAAACACAGTGGCCTCTCTAATTCTCTGCAGGCTTTGGACGTTCATATTAAGAGGGAAAGGGGTGGTTTAACAGAATTAAACCCACCTCACCTTGATGCTGCTACTGGAGAACTGTCACTTACATTGGGGGTGACTGTTTTGGAGGCCTTCCTGAAATGTGGGAGATCATCCAACCCACTGAAACTTACCGGTTCAAGGGGTGGAGACCTTTGGCGTTTTAAACCATTTCGATGGCAATCTTTCAGAAAGGTGTCCTTTGTGAACTGTAGTTTGCCCAGCAGGACCAAGGGGCCAGAAAAAAGCCCCTGGGCTCAGGCAGGTTTGGGCTTGAGCTGGGTTCCACTGTTTACTCACTGCGTCTCTTAACTTTGCCGGACCTCAGTTTTCTCAGTTCTAAAGCGGGGATGATGAATTACAGTCCCCACGTGCTGGGGCTATTATGCAGTGTTCTTCAATGGAAATGGCTACTATTTATTTTCTGTTGAAACTTTTAAGTTTATTTCTTTCTTTACTTATTTTTGAGAGAGCTAGCATAAGCGGGGGAAGGGCAGAGAGAGAGGGGGACACAGAATCCCAAGCAGGCTCCCCGCTGTCAGCACCGTGAGATCATGACCTGAACTGAAATCAAGAGTTGGACACTTAACCGACTGAGCCACCAGGTGCCCCAGATAGCTACTGTTTATTGAGCACTTACCATGTGCAGACACTGTCCTAAGCACTGTAAGTATTAACCCATCTCATGAGATCAGGTACATAACACTTAGCGTGTGCCTAGGACGTGATGTGTGCTCAATAAGTACTGGCTGCTGTCATCATTATTGCAGTGACTTGATACTCCAAAGGGGTAGCTAGTGAGTCTTGAGATCACAATGGGAGCTTTGTCAAACGTGGTTTGAGCGTAAAACAACAAGCATTTATTTGTTTGTGATTTTGCAGTACGAGCAGGGCTCAGAGGGAACAGCTTGTCTCTCTCAGTGTCTGCTGGGGCACCCTCCGCTTCCAAGAGAGCTCATGCACATGTCTCACAAGTTAATGATGGACGTGGGCTGGGAACTCCATCCTCTCCATGGGCTTCTCCACGTGGCTGCTTGGGCTCCCTCACAGCATGGTGGCTGGGGTTCCAAAAACGAGAACCGGAAGCTGCCTGTCCTCTGAAAGATTAGGTTTCCATCTGGCACAGCAACACTTCACTTTTTCTCTTGGTCATGCAGTCACCTGGTAGCCCAGATTCAAGGGGATGGAGGAAGAGACTCCGCCTCTTGATGGAGCTGTGGCTCTCGCAGACGGGGAGGGGAGGAACGGATGGAGGCCATCTCTGGAATCAAGCTAACTTGCTGCTTTTATTACAAATGGGGGTCAGGACTCCTGACCCGTGAAAGACAGCCTCTCCTCCACATTCCAGCATTCTACCAGTCAGGAGGGAAGGGAGCTCCCCAGATTTTGAAAGAGACCCTATTGAACCTATTTTCAATTTCCTGTAGCTTTGAGCCAAGAGATTAGAAGCAAAAACCCTTGGCAGGTGGCAGTGCGGCAGGGCGGGGTTGGGGAGGGTGTACTTTGGCTCCTTCTACTGTGGAAGTCTTTGCACATTAGAAAGGGGCCCATCTGTGCAGACCTGCTCGGAGATCTCCCTGAAAAAGACTTCCTGACCCCTGGGGAAATTCCAGACAATTGGTCAGGGCTGGAGAGAGTGGCAAGGTGCTTACGGAGAGGAACAGGCAGAGACAAACCCACTCTTTTAATTAGAGAAGATGAGGGGAGCCTGGGTGGCTCAGTCGGTTAGGCACCCGACTTCCGTTAAGGTCATATCTCACGGCTCTGGGTTTGAGCCCCGTATCTGTCCCCTTCTCTCTCTGCCTCTCCCCCCACCTCTCTGTCTGTCTGAATGAATGAATAAATGAATAAATAGAAGATGAGCTGAAGTTGGCATGGCTGGAATGTGTTGGTTCTCTGTCAGATCTGGGCCATCAACCTTCTGTGCCCCACCTCTTCCTTGGCCAACTCCTGGGTGGCCCTTGGGGCTCAGCCTGGATATCACTTCCTGGGTAGGCTCCCCCACTGCTGTGCACCCCCATGGCTCCCCACACCATTCTCCCTAACTCTAGTCCACATGGACTCTCTTGTTTTCCAACAGTCCCCTCACTGGGAGCCACTCGGTTTCAGCAGCCTTGTCCACTTTGTTCCTGGCTTAGCCCAGCTCTGAGAATGGCACCCTTACTCCCCAGCTGCCCGAGCTAGAAGCCCAGGTGACATCCTTGTTTCCTCCCGTGGCCTCGCCCCTCACATCCTCCAGTGGTTAAGGCTGCTTCTAACCCTCAAGTCTATCCACCTGTCTCTCTCTCACCTGGGTTACCCACAGCAGCCTCCCTGCTTCCACACCCTTCCAGAGTCTTCAGAAGCAAATCAAACCAGGCCACTCCCTGTTCTATTCTTTCAAGGACTTCCCTTAACTCTCAGGCTGAAGTATAAGCTCCTGCATGTGACCTACAGGGGCCTTTCATGGTCTGATGCTGCCTCCCATCTTGTACTTCATTCCAGCCACCGTGAAAGTTTACTTCCTTATTGTGAGAAGTAAGCGATTCATTGTTAGAAATACCCAAGAAAAGCTGTGCTGTCTGGTTAACAATAGGATTACAACATATTGGAAATATGTACGAACCCCTCCCTGCTGCACAATGGAATCCCAAACCCTGAGATGCTTTACTTCCTGGTTCTTCCCCTTTCCACTTTGGGGGCTTATGTTTCATGGGCTTTGCAATAAGTGTGCGCCAAAGGACTTCAGGTCTTCCTGTGTCACCTCAAGGAATGTACATTTGTTCCAGTCAGACTGCTTTTTGCCTTACACGGGCATAGACGACACCCAGGTAAGGCTGTGGCCTCTGCAGTACTCAGCCAATGAGGAACCAGGGGAGGGACTTGCCTCTGTAGTACTCAGCCAATGAGGAACCAGGGGAGGGACTTCATGCTAGGAGATAAATTGTCTGCTGTTGCCTCCTGGAGTGTCTGTCCATCAGACACCAGCTCTTGCGAAAACGCTGATTAAAGCTTCGCTTCACTGTGCTCCGAGTCTCCGCGTCCCTCCTTTGATTGGGTCAGCGGGCTTATTTCTCACATTTGTCCATTGATGGTATCTCAATAAAACCGGAAGGAAAAATAAAGTTTACTTCCTTAAAAATGTCAGGCTCTTTCTACCCTCCAGACCTTTACCTTTGCTATTCCTCTTAATCAGAACAACTTTCTTCCTCATCACTTTCCTAATTTCTATTCATCCTTCACATCCGGCTTGGGTGTCACTTCCTCCAGGGAGTCTTCTTGAGTCACACCCTGTGCTTTCTGTCTCACCTATTTTTCGCATTGTAGTGCAATAGCATGTTTAAATGTCTGGGCCCTGCTGTAGAAGGATTTCTCAACCTCAGCATGGTTTTTTTTGTTTTGTTTTGTTGTTTTTTGCTGTTTTTTTTATTTTTTATTTTTGAGAGAGAGGAAGGGTGCAAGTGATGGAGAGAAGAGAGGGAGAGAATCCCACGAGGGGCAGAGAAGAGAGAGAGAAGCAGGGCTCACCTGAAGCAGGGCTCATGCTCACGCTTTGAAGGGCTCATGTTTACCCAAAGCGGGGCACGAGTTCACCCGAAGTGGGACTCGAACTCTCAAACCAAGAGATCGTGACCTGAGCCGAAATCAGATGCTTCACTACTGAGCCACCCAGGTGCCCAGCATGATTGTTTTCTTGGACTGGATCATTCCTCAGTCCAAGGAATATAGGGGGCCAGCCTATGTGCTGTAGGCTGTTTAGCGGGATTCTGACCTGTGCACACTAGATGCCAGTAGCACATCCCATCCGGTGGTGACAGTCAGAACTGTGTCCAGACATTGCTAAATGCCCCCCACCCTGTGCAAAATCTCCCCCCAGTTAAGAACAACTGCCCTATGGCAACAGCGTCAGTTTTTTTTTTTAAGTTTATTTGTTTATTTTGAGTGAGAGAGAGAGAGAGAGAGAGAGAGAGAGAGACATGGGAGGGCAGAGAGAGGAGAGAAAGAGAATCCCAAGCAGGCTTCACACCGTCAGCAGAGAGCTTGATTGAGGGGCTCAAACTCACGACCCATGAGATCATGACCTGAGCCGAAACCAAGAGTCAGAACATCACTCTTCTTCATAGCTACTTTTCAA